ATACTAATATATATCTGTAGCCTTGCATCATATACAGACGTCGCTTTTAATCGCTCTAGATATCTGATAATGCGTTCAACATAACGTTTGGATTATGTTATACAGAATATTTACACAGAAACATGAATAAATACATGTAGTAAATGGTAAAAATGTTATTTATTAGAATTTTCCGCTTCGAAATTCGTATGATTTTATTTTTTTTTTTTCGAGCCAGGAAATCCAGTTTTATTTCATTCTATCTACACGTGTATTTCTACATAAACGCAGTCAACAAAATTTACTTCCGTGTTTACAATACCGCGACTTTGACGTCGTTTTCTGAGCATTGTGACGTCAAAAGATAAGGGCCCTTTTCTCATGACGGCAGTCATATAATGCAGAGCATTACAGTATTGAATACAAATGTAATGCAGAGCATTACATTATTGAATAAACAAATGTAATTATAGAAGCATTACAGTATTGAATACAAATGTAATGCTTAGTCTTCAGTTTAGCCTCCATTATAATGCTACATGAAATACCTTAAATCATGCAAAGACTTTCAAATAATAAAAAAAATCAGAAAAGTGATAGAAAATTCATCACCAATTTCCGTATCTTTTCATATACAAGGAGCTCAGTGTAACTGCACACTCTTATCACATAGAACAATAGGATGGGGATTGACTACATTACCTGGATTCTGTACACCTCAGTGTTGTGTGTTTATCTACTGTAAAGAATTCTACTTAAGGTTCATTGTCTCCATGTTCACTCATAAAAGGTTCCCCTTTATGCTACTGTAATTATTTTCCAAAAGAAATCCAATATATCTAATTTTCACACATAAAATGCACACAATTTCAGTAAAACTTGCTGTGCAAAATTTCACAGAAATGGCCTTTTAAACTTGACAATTTTATATAAGAATAATAGTCATTTATCTGAGTGAGAGTTATCTCTCTTAGCAGAGGGTCAACAACCTTAATCTGATACAATAAATTATGTATAATGTCTGTGTCATAATACCAGTAGTAGCACCTTGATCTACAATTTTTTAAAGATATCACTAACATTTGACATATTACATACATGTATATTACATTTCAGTGTTGGCATAAATATGAATTTTAAATATGTGACCCAGTTCATTCAGCATACTGTAGAAAACAAGGCAGTGGGTTTAATATCTACTGTGGCAGATACAATAACAAGAGACCCATGGGCCACATCGCTCACCTGAGCACATTGGCTAGGCAAAAGCACAAATCAGTTCAGTATTGAAAAGATTACCGGGGGTTGAGGGGGGGGGGGGGGGGGTTGAATTTTAAACTACCTGATGATGCTTCCATGTCAATATAACATATGGCTTTGTTGTACTTGAGAAGATTTTAAAAAAAATTTTCCCATATATTCCTTTGTAAAAATTTGATCCCCCATTGTGGCTCTTCCCTATCCCAGGGATCATCATTTGAACAAACTTGAATCTACACTACATGAGGATGCTTCCATATCAAAATGACTAATCATGGCTTTGCAGTTCTTTAGAAGAAGATATTTTCTTATATATTTCTATTTAAGACTTTGATCCTCCATTGTGGCCCCACCCTACCCCTGGGTGTCATGATTTGAACAAAATGGAATCTACACTACCTGAGAATGCTTCCATATAAATATGACTCATAATGGCTTTGCTGTTCCTGATAAGAAGATTTTTAAAGGTTTTTGCTATATATTTCTATGTAAAACTTTGATCCTCCATTGTGGCCCCACCCTACCCCTGGGGGTCATGATTTGAACAAACTTGAATCTACAATACCTGAGAATGCTTCCATATAAATATGACTCATCATGGCTTTGCTGTTCCTGAGAAGAAGATTTTTAAAGATTTTTGCTATATTTTTCTATGTAAAACTTTGATCCTCCATTGTGGCCCTGCCCTTTCCCCGGGGTCATGATTTGAACAAACTTGAATTTACACTATCTGAAGATGCTTCCATATAAATATGACTCATAATGGCTTTGCTGTTCTTGAGAAGAAGATTTCTAAAGATTTTTCCTATATATTTCTATGTAAATCTTTGATCCTCCATTGTGACCCTGCCCTACCCCCGGGGGTCATGATTTGAACAAACTTGAATCTACACTACCTGAGGATGCTTCCACATGAGTTTCATCTTTCCTGGCCCTGTGGTTCTTGAGAAGAAGATTTTTAAAAGATGCTATTAATTTTTCACTAATTCTTTATTATCTCCCCTTGAAAGAGGGTGTGGCCCTTCATTTAAACAAACTTGAATCCCCTTCACCTAAGGATACTTTGTGGCAAGTTTGGTTGAAATTGGCCCAGTAGTTCTGGAGAAGAAGATGAAACTGTGAAAAGTTTACAACAACGACAGACAACAGACAAATTTTGATCAGAAAAGCTCACTTGAGCCTTTCGGCTCAGGTGAGCTAATAATATACAGCTCACATGATAGTTAAAAAAAATGAATGAAAATTAGATTCTCTAAAAATTCTAACATAAAAGAGATTTTATCCAGTATGATCATGAACACAATGTCTTCTCAAGCATAAGTTAGATTTCTATGGAAAAAGAACACACAGAAAAAAAAATTATATATATATATACAGCAAGGAAAATAGACAGACAGATAAACAAAGAGAGGGGAACTAATATATACAAATCTCCTCAACAATTTAAAATTCCCAGAAATGTGTATACTTGTACCAAGTATAAAGTTACTGCAATCAGTACAACTAAGTGTTTCTTTGAAACATGATAACTAATGAAGAATTGATGATTACATATTGTACACACACAAATATGGTATTCTGTGTTAAAGATAACATTGACATTATCTTTTGATTACACAACATGTCCACATAGACTGAATGTCATCTCACCATCACCAGTTTTATGATCAAACAGGGTTTTGATTTGAACCTGGTGACACAAATTTACAATTTGGAAAAGAAATCTTTCATCATTATCATTTTGATCAAAGTTTCCCTACTAGATGCTACATGTAAGGAATCTTTTATAAATTAACATAATGCATATTTGATACAGTTAAATTTTGGTATCTCAAACATGAATTAACTTTAATGTTGAAGTGAGTTGGTAGCTTTTATAATTTTTTCTTAATGTATTTTAACCTTATTATCTCAGATCCTTGGATATTTTGAGGTTTGCCTTGATTCCATCTAGCTTGAGAAAGTGAGGTTTGACTGTATCTGATGCTTGAGATAGTGAGGTTTGACCGTATCTGATCAAGTATAAACTTAAATCTGGGGCTTGAAACCTGGCCACAAAAATTTATAAAGAGTTCATTGTTCAATGTCATCATGCTGACAGTTCGCTTGCTTAGCGTCCAGAGGTGAACAAATTTTCAAGGATATAATGACTTTCAAATATGTGACCTAATTAACCCCACTACAGGCTAATATTGATCATTATTTACATTCAACAATTTTGACCAGAATTGATAAGTATTTTTCAGAGTTAATGAATTCCCAACATATGAATAAAATTGGCCTGAAATCTGAACCCATGAAGCAAAAATTTTACTGTTTCTAATTTTAGTTTCCCATCATTCTTAGATGTTATAAATTGGTCTGGGAATTCCAGAGAAATGGTCAAAAATTTTCAAACAATTCCAAAAAATTACAGAAGGAACATATAGCATAAGGTTATATGAATTCAGGTGACCTCATAAAACTGAACTATTGCTTCTAAAGTTCAGAACAATTCAGTAATATACAAAGAAGCTGGGGTAGGCAGGCAGATTGCCGAGCCAGGTCAATACACAAGGTTACACTGTACACATTACTATATAAGGCTGTACTGTACAATCTATGTAAAGTCAATACACAGTTTAATACACCATATCAATGTACCGTGAGATGCACTGTCTGTCTGTATAAAGTCAATACACAGTAAAACTGTACACCAAGACCAAAGTCTGTTATTAACACCAACATAAGAAATAAGTGTCAGATCCCTGATATGTTTACACTAGACATGGGAGGTATTAACTAGAAATGCGGAGCATTTATCTTCACAAAATTTTGGCTGCTTTTTTATTCTGAATTTTTTTTTCTCTCTCAAAAACTGATTTCAAAGAGGTATTCCTCAAAAAGAAAATGAAATAAATAAATACTGCCCTGATTAGAACTACATGCAAGACGGGGTAGAAATTTTTAACATGAGGTATACAAAACACACCGCAATGATGTTAACGCTTGGTCAGACAGAACCACAAGCCTCAGAGTGTAACAACACAAAAGGATTTAAGCTACTATTGAATGGTGCTGCTTCAGCTAACGAGACTGAAATCTGTGGCTCTGACGTAAGGCCTTAATGATAACAATACAGTATATTGAGGTATAACGTACCTGACAGTTTGAGGTATTTTAGCTTTAGTTAGGTAGACTTGTTGTTTTTTTTTATAATATTTGACATGTTCTTTTTCCCCTTACTAATATAAAATGAAGTCTACTAATACACACTATTTATACTGAAGCCAATTGTATCTTTACCAAATTCAAAGTCCCCAATTTCTAAACATATTATAACTAATACATGTACTGTATGAAATTTATGAAAGTTGAACTGAGAAATAACAAGTCAATGGGGTAAAAATTCCAAGATCAATGCATCACCTTTTTAAGAAATTTCAAAAATTATAAACCAACTTTTATACCTATACGTCAATATTTGGTTAGAATAAATTTTCATTTAAATATAAAAAAATAACTTGCCAAATAATCTCAAGGTTGTTCAACATGTTAAACCTTGCTACTATTTAAGAGAAAAAGAGCATAATGTAGCCACTAAACTAGTTGTGTATATATTTAAAAATCCTGCTTGTATTTGTGGAGGTAGAAAGGCTTAGTACAGCCAGTTTTGATTGGATAAAAAGTATCATTCAATTCTTTCAACCAATACCAGCAACCAACAATTTGGTGACAACATATCTATAACTATCAGCAGTTGCTCCATGCACAGTCAACTGTTACACATGTTCAGTGGACTGTGACATGTGGTCAGTAGACTTTGACCCACATTTGAAGGACTGTGTCAGGTCGTCCTCTTCGACAGTTTCTTGATTTCTAGAGTTTGTGTAATACTCTGTTGATTCAGCTTGGTTTGATGTACACACACTAGCACCTCCTTCTATTGGTGAATGTGGCCTCTCTGGGGTGTCCCGATTTGAAGTAGGATTTACCTTGCAGGATGTGTCTGTGTTGAGTGAGAGCCGGTCGACTGATGTAGCCTGTACCAATCTGTCTGTGTTCAATGATAGTGGGTCTGCTGAAGTAGCTTGCATCATTTTCTTCAGCAATTCATCACTTTGACTGATCATGGTGTCACTGTAAAGGTTATCTCCCCTGTCTGTATCAGGACTGTTCTCATGACCATTTGACCTGTTAGATGCCCCACCCGAGGCCTCCACCAAACAACTGTTTCCCCTTGATGAGCCCCATGTGCTGTCAGCATGTCTTTCACTAGAGGATTCAGGAGACACACCCCTTATGTCACATGACAGGCTAGCTCCACTATCATTGGATAGAGACTGGTTTCCATCACTGTGGACATGATGCAGTCCCTGATGGTGCCATAGAAGACAGGCATGCTCCCCAGGCTACAAACCAACCAATCATATAACTGAAGTGTAGTGATTTTCTTAATTAGCTTTTATACAAAACTATAAATTTTGCTTCTGATGTTATTTTTGGGAGGAAGGGGATGGGACTTTTTTAAAGAATAGAATGTGACCTTAGCAAAAAAAAAAAAAAAAAAAGAGAGAGAGACCCATGGGCCACAATGCCCACCTGAGTTTCCATTCTCTTTCTGACATATGAATTTGTACACATGCATTAAATGAAATAGTAAAAAATGAAGATAATTTTTATTGTTTTTTCCAAATTTTAGAAAGTCAATATATTTCTGTATAAAATTTCTTCTCCAGTTGTTGCTCTTAGTCCCTATGGCCATGCTTAAAACAAATTTCATTGAATTCCCATTACATGGAGATGCTTGCATATGTGAAATGTGTCCTGTGGCCCATTCCTACCCCAAGAGGTCATGATTTTATTCTACACTTCCTGAGAATGTCTATTTTTCATTATAACTGATTATAGTTCTGTGGTTCTTGAAAATAAGATTTTTAAAGATTTATTCCAATGTAGAAAATTGATCCCTTATTGTTGTTCCATCCTTCCTCAAGATACCATGATCTGAACAAACTTGAATCTGCATTACTGAAGAACACTTGCATATCAATATCATAAATCATGGCCATGTTGTTTTTGAGAACAAGAATTTTAAAAGTTTTCCCCCTACATTTTACTATGTAAAACTTTGATCCCCTATTGTGGCCTCACCCTACCCCGAAGGCCATGAAATGTACAGGGAAGAAGCATTCACATCAGTTTTGTCTTTTCTTGTTGAGGTTTCTCTAGATGACAATTTTAAATGATGCCACCATATTTTCACCATTTTTGAATTATCTCCCCTTGGAAGAGAGTGTGGCTTTTCATTCATAAATCTGAATCCCCTTCACCCAAGGATGCTTCTGTGAAATCTTTACAGACTGACAGACAGTCCCAGTAAATTTTTATCAGAAAGCTCACTTGAACCTTAAGGTTTAGGTGAACTAAAATATCATGCCAGTCTTTTTCACTGTGATGGTTTTTCTCTGTGTTTTATGAAATGATGACATACAGTCAATTTTGTATTCATAGTCAACTCTGGAGACCCAGCAGGTAAAGAGATTACAGTACACAATATCAAAGTTTTATTAAAATAATTCTCAATACCTCCTGTTCTGTGTCTGTGTTGAGTTTGTCTGTATGTCTGGTAGTGGAAGTCAAAGCTAGGAGTTTCCCAGTGCTGGACAAAAAAGCTCCTCCACTCCCACCATCCTATAAAACAATCACAATTCATCAAACTGGACATAAATAGGGCTATGGGCCTCAAGGCTCACCTGAGTCACATTTTTTTTCTTTATAGAGAGTAGATGAACTAGAAAACTGTCTTACACACCCCTGTGATCAATGATCACAACCTTTTGTTCATTGTTTAAGCAAGTGACCCTAAAATCATTAGCATCTCTTTTAATTGTGTTGTAATACAAAGTCTGTCTATTGAAAAAACACTCAATTTGTGTACTAGATTAGTGTGTTCACTGGAAAAATAAATAATTTGACCTTTTCCTGTGTTGGTCATTCCAATAATTTTGACTTTTGACCAATTAAGTAACCAAAAAATTTACAATTGTCTCTCTTTAACCATTCTTCAACTATGTAATGATATATTAAGATATAAAGTCTGTATGTTATGCAAGTTACTGCAAAACTTCAATATGTAATATTAACAATATTCTTTACTTTTTATCTTGACCTTTAACCAGATGACCCCAATATTACTGAATGTTTTCTCTGACTATCTAATGTAGTAAATATGAAGTCTGTGGGTTGGGAGGTACATAGAGTCACATAATGTTGAAGGACAAACAGACTGACACAGTGACTACTGCATGGCACCTGTATCTGGATACCTACAGAGCCATGAAACCCCTTATGACATCAAATTAAAGTCCATTATTTCAACAATTTTAATTTTTAGCTCACTGTGGCTTGACATAAAATACAATTAATATCAAACTGCATCAAATTTATATTATTACTTGTGTAACAAAATATTAAATTAAGGATCACTGTATGTTTTTATTCTTTAATTTAGCAACAAAATACATATCACACATGTATGTTTGGGTTTTCAAAACAAGAGGGATTTATCTTTACTTTGTTTTGTCCCTCCATCAGAATAAGTCTGTGGGCCTCGGGGAGCTGGTAACTCTGTTGTTGATAGCGCGACCTGATTTCTGGGTTAGTGACGGTCCTGGTGGAATGTCGGTACAGGTTTGCGTAATGCCTGCAACAGATGGTTAACATTTAAAGGAACAAATGTTGGTCAATTTAAGTAATCCATAACTGCATGTTCATACATCAAAAAGAAATGAGGCTCATAGTTCAATATGCTCACTAGTTACAATAATTATACTGACATTTAAATCGAAAAACCCTTATTGTGGCTTTATTAGCCATAGGTCACAACTGAAACAAATGATTTACAGTAAAAATTTGATGTTCTGCTGTAAATATTAATTAGTACAGTATATATACCTTACTTGTATATACACTTTAATACTTAAACTGATATTTATTTAGCAATAAAGATTTGGTCATGGACTATTGCTAAAATTGCTACTGATGTTTTTATTCATCCTGAGCTTATATTTTTTTCACTGAGAAATTATTTTTTGTTCAATAGATGACTATAAACTGCAAAAAAAATTTTCCATTCTGAAACATTTCCGTCATAGAAACATTTCTGTCATAGATCATGTAGATATATCAAACATTAACATTCACAAACAAAATAATTAATACAGGTTGGTTATATAGATGTGTCAAAAAAGTTTCATTAAGTTGACTGACCTTTGTCTGAGAACAATCACCAGGATACACACAATGATGCTGGTCAGTCCAATAGCACAACCGACCACTATCCCTAGTCTCTGGTCCCTCAGAAAACTGTCAGACATATTGGACCGGGGGGCTACAAGAACAAAATCAGTTACTGACAGAAGTTATCTCTCTTTGTATAGAAAATAAATCATCCTTTCTCAACAAAATTCTGTTACTAAATCAACTGAACCATTTCTGCTAATTTTATTTTTTATACTAGCTTGTATAATTTTTTATAAAATAAGAAATACTTTTCTCATTTGGGTCTTGGTGTAGTGGCATAATTATAATGAATCTGCATCAGGCAATGTGCTTAGCCCAGGGACTTTATACATGTACTTACGTTAGTATATAGGGTCCCTGGCTTAATTATATGTGCTTTCCTTTAAAGCTAGCCTTTATACTCGTATGTGATTTTATATGGCAATTTACCCTGATCAAAAGGTAACTTACAGCCCATGGGTAGCAATGCTCACCCTGAGGTCAATTTTCTCTTTCTGGCGAGTGAATGTGAATGAGATCTTACTTGAGCTTTCATATCAATTTGAATAATCCCATTACATGTTCTGCTGTTTTAAATATATTAAGCTTTTTCTTATTTTTAAATATATCCTCCCATATGTTCCTAATAATTCTAACTCCTATTGTGGCCCACAATAGCTTAATATCTAACTTTAAAATGGATGGATCATTCATTTTTGCTTGCAGCTCTGAAATGCAGGTATTTAAACATTCACTGTTGATTATGATTATGTAAAAATCTACAATTGTAAAACAATAATCTCATTTTACATGTACACAAACTTGAGCCCTCAATATTCAGTCAACTTGGCAGGTTTTCTAAGCATTTGAAAAGGAAACTAAATATTTGGAATCTCTTGTTTTTGTAATACATGTATAACTCAATGGTGACAAATATTTTAGATTAAGATTTTTAGTCACATGATACTTTGTTGTTGTCTGTTGTTTAGCATTATAAATTGTCAGAATTATGAATATTGAAAAATGGGTAGCACTAGTGGACATCAATGTTAAATATTAGTATAATCTGGAAGAGAACCTGTGGCCAGTGATAGCTAGACATTTTTGGAAGGGTGAATATTTCTTCCAAGATGACAATGCCCTTGAGTGTGATCATTTTGCTAGGTCTTCTCCACAATGTTTGCTTGGAAGTGGCATATAAGCTGCTAAACTTAGTCCATCTAGTCACCATATATGAACATGTTAATAGAAAATCTTTGGTAGTTGATAAAAAGAAAGCTTCAGGTACATATTTGCTATTTATCAAATCTAAAGACAATCTAGTGCAGGAAGTTTGGAGCATTGAGGCAAGCAATACATCTACCTATATTCAGGACCTCTACAAGTCCACATCAAACAGCATATGAATGTAATCAGACTCAAGAGACATCTTATTAAGATTAAGAAGTAATCTAATGTATTTTGTTTGGTTTTTTAATTAACTTTATTTCATTTAGAGAACATTTGACATTTTATAGTTTAGTTTTCAAACATAAACAAGCTGCCATTCTGCCCGAATACTTTGGGCACATGTCAGTAGAAACTATAGAAAAACACAATGCTTGACCGAGCTTAACCACAGTGCGGGTAAAGGAAATTTACATGAAGGAAGCCAAACAAGACAAATGTATATCAAAAAAAAATAAAAGGTTTAACAAAACATTTATTGACTGTGTTCTTGGGCAAAACATGTTTTATCGAACCCTCGAACCAAACTGTTTGCCTTCAGCCTAACGGCCTCAGGCAAACAGTTTGGTTCTTGGGTCTGACAAAACGCATGTTGCCCTTGAATCCAGTCAATAAATGTATACTGGCACACCAATGGTCTAGAGAAAAAGTAAAAATTTTAAAGAAGACAGACATGAGACAGACATAAAAATTTTGATCAGAAAAGCTCTTTGAGCCTTTGTAAGTTTGCTTTCAAACATCATCAGTTTTTTTAGAATGATCTACAAATGTTTGATGTCTTACAGACTGGAGGGGAGGAGTTGCGGCCGTCACATGGCATGCTACATGGACTGAGCACCACCTTCACCACACTGGAGGGTGGCCCCTGACCTGCAGTTGTGCACGCCCTCAACTTGAAGAAGTAAACTGTGCTGGTCAGGTCTTTCACTACCGCCTGGGTCATCGTACCTGTATAACAATAAGTTTCAAGTATAAGACAATACTACCTTTTCCTTTATCAATTCAATTCATTACCCCTTATAATGTTAACATGGTGAAATGAGGAACCAAGACCTCAACCATGAGGTGACCTGTGATTTGAACAAACATGAGAATTCAATGGCAGAAATCATTCTGTATCAAAATATGTACTGCCTTCTAACACTCTGTGTTAACTACTGTGAAATCACTAATTTTCATGGGGGGTTTCAGTCATTTTCATGGTATATTGAAAAGTCCCTCAAATTCATGTCCTCCATGAAAAGTTAAAATTCAAATTTACAAGCGTCTGATGATGTTCATGTATTTAACCATGAAATGAAATCCCAACAAACCAAAATTTTTTTCCTCAAATCCCCAAAACCTGACCCCACAGCAATCATTCAAATGCTAATAACAGATCATGGCAACCAATCAAATGTTTGCTTAGCAAGGCCTAGGGGTTCTCTCTCTAATATATTAAAGAAACAAAAATGTACTTGTAGGTGTAATGAAAAATTTAGAAGCAAAGGGAGAAAATTTTATCTTCAATCTCAAGGGGGAAAATAATAATCAGTCATGGTAATTAAAACAATCTTTAACTGTTTTAAATCAGTGCTATATTACTGACCCTAACATTTGAGACTGACCGTTACTGTGTATGGAGCTCCACAGGAAGTCAGGATCGTTCTGGTGTTGATGGTACTGTATGATGTAGAACACAATGACCCCATTTTTCTTAATGGGAGGATTCCACATCAGCTGGACCTCATCCTCACTGAGAGGGTACAGTGTCACATCCTCTGGGGGGCTGGGGACTACAATCAAAACAGGTTAAATGTCAACATATTTGTCACTGAGAGTGTACTGTGAGTGTCACATCTTCTGGGGGGCTGTGGACTAAATCCAAACATTAAGTTATGTCAACATATTTGTCACTGAGAGGGTACAGTGTCACATATCCTCTTGGGGGGGGGGGCTACAATCAAAATAGGTGATGTCAACATATTTGTCACTGAGAGGGTACAGCATCACATCCTCGGGGGGGGGGGGGGGGGGGGGGGGGGGGGCTGGGGACTACAATCAAAACAGGTTAAATGTCAAAATGTTTGTCACTGAGAGGGTACAGTGTCACATCCTCTGGGGGGCTGGGGACTACAATCAAAACAGGTTAAATGTCAAAATGTTTGTCACTGAGAGGGTACAGTGTCACATCCTCTGGGGGGCTGGGGACTACAATCAAAACAGGTTAAATGTCAAAATGTTTGTCACTGAGAGGGTACAGTGTCACATTCTCTGGGGGGGGGGGGGGGGGGGGGGGGCTGGGGACTACAATCAAAATAGAAAACATCAACATATTTGTCACTGAGAGGGTACTGTGTCACATCTTCTGGGGGGCTGGAGACTACAATCAAAATAGGAAACATCAACATATTTGTCACTGAGAGGGTACTGTGTCACATCTTCTCGGTGGACTACAATTATGACAGGTTAAATGTCAACATATCTGTCACTGAGAGGGTACTACGTCACATCTTTGGGGGGGGGGGGGGGGGGGCTACAATTAAAACAGGTATTGTCAACCTGTTTGTCTCTGTTAGAGAATACAGCATCATAATTCCTACTTATGGAATTGAGGAACCGGGGATTACAGGGTCAAGAGCAGTTCTGCTTTAGACTTCAGATTAACATATACATATTCATGTTCCTTTAATTAATAAAGATAAAATTTCACACTGTGTAAGAATGAGATAAATTACTGAATAATACTTCATGGCAAAAAATGGACTCTTTTGGGATTTCCTTTTTTTCTTTAAGAAATGCTTTAATCAATTAAATGGTTCATTTATGGTACTAAAGATCAAAGATTTTAATGAAGAATCCTGACTGATTGAGATTTATGTAATTCATAGTGTATAAAATTCTTCATTTAGATGTAGTTTTATTTCTCATTCAAGTTGGTGCACCTTTGAATGGAATTTGTCAATGAGTAAACAAGCTGAGGGAATTCTTTTTGTGATTGGATAAATTTAACATACTCCTGTATATGTGTGACAAATGATAGCTGATTAAGCACCTGATACATTCTATCCTTGATTCCATTTGTCTGCTGCTATTATCTATGCCAGTGTGAGACAGAGATGCAATAAAGATTCCTAAATAAGAACAAACGTTACCAACCCCAGAGGGGCTGACCTACCATCTTCTAGCGTGGTGATGTCCTGGGGGGTACTGAATGGTCCCGTGGTCTGTGGGGAGTGGGATCTGACTGAGATGGTGTATGTGGTGTACGGGGTAAGGTCCTGGAGTGTGTAGTTCTGGGAATCACTGTCAAACAAAAAAATCTGATTATACATACCCCTTGATATGATTTTGCAGACATTGATACTGATGTGAAAGCTGGTCTATAGATATTGTTCTTTACAGAGTATTACCCACCTCCTCTCATACATGATTTTGCGGTCGTCATTACTGATGTGATAGCGGACAGTGTAATAGCTGATCCCTTGCTCCCAGTGGGGCTGAGTCCAGTTGAGGGACACTGATTGAGGCGACTTGGCGAATACCCTGACGTCCATTGGAGGGGGAGGTTCTGGTGACCTCAGCGGACTGAGGACCTGGAATAAACAGTTGGCCTTACCCAGAGTTTCATTCTCTCCCAGCACCTCCAGCACCGCCTCATAGTAAATCCTGTTTTCTGTTAAGCACACAAAAAGAATCAATAAATTAAGATACCTATTATACGATGTTTTTAATTCAATTTTCCCTTCCCCTGTGATCTGTAGAATGTGTAATCTTTCAGCCATATAGATATGCAAGAGAAGAGACTTACGGAGATGGCTGATGACTGTGAAGTTGGATTCTATGGGGAGCTGTATACTTCTTGTCATTGGAGGGCCTATTTTCCTTTTAATGTAAAGCTGGTACCCACGGGCCTCCATTGAGGAATTACTGACTTCCCAGGAGATCTGAACTGCTGAGTTATTGAGGGGCACCACTTCTAAATCTGGAGCTGGTATTACTGTAAAAATGATTGCATCATGCCTCTAAGATACATTACTTACAATACATTAATTTATTGTATAGTAACTCATCATATCCTTCCACTTATTAATACCATATAATTGGTAATTAGGCACAATTTTAACGATTCCTTCAAAAAATTCAGACAAGAGGCCCATGGGCCACAATGCTCACCTGAGTCACTTTGTCCTTGCTGTTCTGCATCAGATTTTTTCCCAAAACAGTTAAACTTCTTTTATAACGTATCTCAAGGGACTGTGATAAATCCTACGTTATAACCAGTGTACGTTATAAATGGAGACCAGTGTACTCAGTACACCTTTACCGTAAACACCTTCCAAACCGCTATAGTGTGTTATTAATATTTTTAAAAGTATGTATACATGTAGTATGTAAATAAATGATTTACAGGTATATTTGGTTTCATTTCTTATATTTTCAAGAAAGATAAATATTCAGTAACATTTTATTTTCACAAACTACATGTATAAATTATTTAAAAATCGCTTAATTATTGCTGTACAATCTTGATCTCAGGTCACTTAAAAAAGTCCGTAAATTAATGTTTTTCCGTTTGACTTGGCTACATTTATTAACAAAAGTCTCCAGAGTTGCAAGCGCGGAGAAAACACTGTCGTCAACCCCTTCGAACGAGTTTACAAAAGTTTTCTTTTGTAAAAAAATTTCTGACAAATGCGACCTTTGATCGTCTGGGTAGATCGTACACATGTGTCAGGCACTGGCTTGTCGTCCTCGCTGTCGTCGTGGTCTACTGATCTTGAATCACTGTACATGTATTTTTCTTTCACTTGCTCAATTATGTCATTTTCGGTCATATTGCTTGCAACAATTAAATTTTCGTCTGCAGTGATGTAATCATTTAGAGTACATTCAATTTCAGGCTGTGTTTTTCGCACAGTCTCCCATTTTTCTGCCAAAGTTGAAAGTGGGATATCATCATCAGAGTTGTACTCGGACGGGTCAGAATCTAGAACGGTGTCTGAAAATCCAGAATTAGAAAAGCAGTTTTGGATGCATTTACTAGTGACTTCACGCCAAGAAAGGTGAATTGAAGTTAACAGCAGAGAGAACATTGATGTCTATGGTTTTATTGTTTTCTACACCCTCGAGATACTTTGATATCAGTTGCTGTCAGTATTTGGTTTTCAGAATTTTTTTACAATTCCTTGATCGCAGGTTTGTAGTTTTGAAGATGTGTTTGGAGGGAAAAACACTAAACGAATGGAACTCAACTCCTCCACTTTAGGGTGTGCAGGGCAGTTATTGACGAACAACAGAATTTTTTTTTTTGTTTATTTTCATTTTTTTATCAAGCCGTTTCACCCACTCAGTAAATAATTCTCCTGTCATCCAAGCTTTTTTATTGTATCTATAATCAACTGGCAAAGATTTAATATTTTTGAAACAGTGTGGATTTGCAAACTTTCTGATGACTAATATTTTCACTTTATCTGATCCATCCATGTTACAACAAACCATGATCATTAATCTTTCTTTGCCATGTTTTCCTCCATGACAGCTCTCCCCTTTCAGGGCTTGAAATAATTGATGGCCCACTGGTCTGTGGCCAGTGAATTTTTAATCTTGGCTAGTACATTGCAGAGGGCATGTGCCCTTTGGGTCAGTGTTTTTTTTGTGCATAACAAAATTCATTCATGGTCGGGCTAGTTAACTTGACAGGGTTGTGCGTCCAAGTTCTGTCGTTTCTTGTTTTGTTAAGTTGTACTGTTATCACAGTGCCTGTATAAACAATATAGTACTATTATTGCTATGGTTTCGGGCCAGTCTTTTAAATCTACTGGCCCACTGGGACAGTGAGAGTACCGAGTTGACCAGTAAAAATTTAAGGTGATAGTCCGAGTGACCAGTGAAAAAAAACATAGGTAATCAAAGATTACGAAGCTCACCTCGACGAATGTTATCTACATGTAAGGCAAATTTCACATATTTTTTTTCTAGTTAGGGTACATCCCAAGATCAATATCCATGCAAGTTTGATTTAATTATAGACCTGCTCAAAAAACTTTTGACCTGTTTAGTAATCAAGAAAATTTTGGTCAGTTCCAACATCCAAAGCAAGTCTGGAAGTTTTCATCCTTAGATGCACCATCTATGCAAGTTTAATCATAACAGGCCATAATATTATATAGCTACTCCAAAAAAATTACCCTGGTCACTCATCTGGAAAATGTACTTCAGATTCAGAATCCAAGGCAAGTCTGGAAGTGTCCATCCCTAGATACATCATCCATGCTAATTTGGTTAAAATATGGCTAAAATTCACTCATGTGGAAAATCTAGGTCAGATCCAGCATTTGAAGCAGGTTGGTTAGTGTACATCCCTATATGCATCATCCATGAAAGTTTGGTCCGGGTAGGGCTTATAGTTACTTGGGAACGAGACTACTCCTTAATCTAAACCTGGTCTCACATGTGGAAAATCTGGGTCAGATCCAGCATCCGAAGCAAGTGTGGTAGTGTCCATCCCTGGATGCATCATCCATGCAAGTTTGGTCTGGGTAGGGCTTATAGTTACTTGGGAATGGACCTGCTCCTCAAACTTAAACCTGGTCACTCATACGGAAAATCTAGGTCAGATCCAGCATCCGAAGCAAGTGTGGTAGTGTCCATCCTTAGATGCATCATCCATGCAAGTTTGGTCAAGATAGGGCTTATAGTTACTTGGGAATGGACCTGCTCCTAAAACTTTAACCTGGCCACTCATCTGGAAAATCTAGGTCAGATCCAGCATCCGAAGCAAGTGTGGTAGTGTCCATCCCTAGATGCATCATCCATGCAAGTTTGGTCAAGGTAGGGCTTACAGTTACTTGGGAATGGACCTGCTCCTAAAACTTTAACCTGGTCACTCCTCTGGAAAATCTAGGTCAGATCCAGCATCCGAAGCAAGTTTGGTAGTGTCCATCCCTAAATGCATCATCCATGCAAGTTTGATCCAGGTAGGGCTTATAGTTACTTAGGAATGGACCTGCTCCTAAAACTTTAACCTGGTCACTCCTCTGGAAAATCTAGGTCAGATCCAGCATCCGAAGCAAGTTTGGTAGTGTCCATCCCTAGTTGCATCATCCATGCAAGTTTGGTCCAGGTAGGGCTTATAGTTACTTGGGAATGGGACTTGCTCCTAAAACTTTAACCTGGGACGCCGACGCTAACGCCAACACCGACGCCGGGGGTATAGCATAAGCTCATCTCGACTTCGTCGAGGTGAGCTACAAAATTATTTCTAGCCCTGCCCTTTTAACTGTAATGTTCTGTTTGGCAACATTTTATAAAAGAGCCCTGTTTCGTCCACATTATAAATATCTTTTGGGGAGTATTCATTCACAATATTTGGTAATTTTGATTTCCAATCATTCACAATGTCGTCATTAACGACTGCACTTTCACAGCTTACAACCCACGAAATGATAGCATGTCTATGCTTAAAATGTTCCACCCAAGAATTAGTAGCAGAGAAATCTGTCACATTCAATTTTTTTGCAATGTCATTTGCTTTTTGTAAAAGAATTGGACCATTGAGATGAATATTTTGATTTCTTGTTGATTTGAACCAAGAGAACATCGCTTCTTCTACAGCGGGATATGACGAAGATCAGAACTTTTTTCATTTCGGACTAAGCTCACCACAGTCCCTAGCTTCCAGAATTTTTTCTCTCTGAGTCCATATTGTGCTTAATGTTGTAGGAGCAATACCAAAATCCTTTGCAATTTGTTTTTTGGATTTGGATCCCGCATTTATTGCTTCAATTATTTGCAATTTTGTATCAAGAGACACAGCCTTTCTCTTAGCTGGAGACGCCATTTTAAATTAATTTTACTGACTCAAAGATAAATTTTATTCAAACAATTTATGTTATGAATACATCTACTTGATGAACTTTATTCAAACTATTATAAATAAATGTACCTGAAACAACAAAGAGACCTTGTTAGAAAAACACCCATTACGGAGCAGCTATGAACTTAACAAACCGTGACTAATCCGCAGTCAGCAATCTGATAGAAAAGGTGTGAAACTAGGTGTCAATAGGTTTAAGAGGTGTAATTATGTAACGGGACCAAATTTCTAATACTTTATAAGCGATACTACGTTATAAACAAACGCATTGTAAGCGGTGTTTTTTCCAATGAAATATATAGTCACTTTGCTGGGACTACGGAATGGCTACTTTACATCCGGATATACTTTAAAACCGAGTACGTTATAAAAGAAGTTTACTGTATATATTAACATATTCCTACTGTAAAACTTTTATCTCCTTTTGTGGCCCCACCCAATATCTAGAGGACTTGATTTGAATATGACTTTTTCCCAATATATATATACCTATATTCCTATGTAAAACTTTGATTCCCTTTTGTGGCCCAATCCAATATACAGGGGTCTTGATTTGAAAAAAAAAAATGAATCTACACGGTTGAGTTCAAGATAACAAGGTTTGACAGTACAGTATAACAAAAGTGAAAAGCTTACAGATGGATAAATGGACAGACAGACAGGTTATCAGAAAAGCTCACTTGAGCTCTCAGCTGATTCACTGTAACCATGCAGATTTAATGGTATTGTTTATTATTGACAAGGCATTGATTAATATTTAAGTGATTAACTGGTTCAATGTTCATTGTCAATACACTTAACCTTCACCCGTAAACAGATCCTTACATTTTTCTTTTTTCTCTTGCTTGTGTTTGGTTCTGTAATTTAAATGTCACACAAAAGTCTGCTATCATTCACATCCTGGTAATAATGAAGCAATTTACTGGACTATATCCTTGATCATAAAACTATTTCTGGGAGCGTCATCTGTATACTTCAACTCTAATGCCAATTACAAGAAACTGCTGTAAAGAGAGGAAAGTGCACGGCCACTGAGATATGATGGCATGTCTCCTAAAGAAGATTGTTTTTTCCTTGTTGAAGGGTTATAAAAATGCCATCAAAATTTTAGCTCCTCAAAA